ATTTTTGGGGGTTTAACAGGATTTTTAAAGGACTCATTTGAATTACACTCTTAACAGTAACCTCTGTGCCATGCAGCTGTGGCTTACCTTTGTGAGCTGTGTCAGCATGTTTGCCTCCACGTCAGCTTGGTCTTTTTATTTCCCCGTCTCTTCAGGCACAATAGGTTTATCATAATGCCTAGAAGAAGCAGAAGGAAAGAGAAGATTCTGGTCATCTGGAACCCTTCTGATTCTCATCAGTAAAACTATAAATCAGCCAGCCTGGCAATCTGAAGCAGCTTTTCTGAAGAGGCACTAATAACTTTAATGATTTTAGTGGGATTTTGAGGTATTGCAGCTGACTGAAAATATCTTTCTTTTTTCACTGTGCAAGCATTAAATTTCATGCAATAAACTAGAGGAAGATTAATTTATTTCCGCTAGAATTCTGAATTTGTTCTGAGTATGAAACTGTGAAATGAGGCAGCTGTCAGCATAATTTACCCCTATCGTTGCTGTGCTGGCAACTCATTGCAGTTTGGTGTTTGTAGCTCTTTTCCCATTGTATACTTGTGTGAATTCTGCCAGCCTGCCTAAGTCCAAGGCATGAGTACTGTCCATTTGACCAGGAATAGGACACTTAGGCTCTTGCCTTCAGAATCGCTTCAGCGAAATGAATCCTAGAGAGCTGCTATCTCTCCTGCTGCATCTCGTATCTCTACAGCACGAGCACTGGCTGTGTCCTGGCCCCGTTTGCATGTCCTCTATGTTAAGCCTTTGCCTTGTTCCTTCAACAAAATTGTCTCCTTCCTGAACCCCACCTCAAAATTTCATCTGGATATTAAAATCAAACAGTGCTGAGTCCTGTGCTCCAAACTACAGATACTCACCTGTGGTGAACAATGATACAATGCCGATCGCTAGAGTTTGGTACACAGGCCCTGATCCTGAAAAAGTGAGGGGTAAGAGAAGAACAGAATCGGTCCTTTCAGAAGACAGGTGTTGCAAAGGGAGACAGAAAAGAAAGAGGTAGTAGTGTTACTCTGTTTTGGCTCCAGCATCAGTCATGGAGTGTAAGACTCACTTGATTCAGATCTGTTGTTGAGCCTGGTCAATGAGAGAAGGGATTTGAGTCCCAGTATTTTCTCCAGTGAGTATTATAAATGTATCATAAAAACCTGAACACTTACAGCAGAACTGGCAAATACTGCTACAGCAGGGGATCCTATGGACTGATGATTAGGGCATGGATTCAGGTACCTTCAGAGAGGGAGGTGGTGGTGACAAGTTTTGTGTTTGTCACAGGAGTCTCAAATGGTATATGGAATATACTCAAGTGCTCATGTTGGAGGGAAGGAGAAGGGATGGCTGAAGCCTGATAGAATGTTAGTGCTGGGAGTAATCAGAAAAACTTAATAAGGGTATGATATCTCCAGAACCTCAGCTAAAGAAGTATGTTTATGATTTTAACCCTGGTTCCTAACATCTATGGAAGACCCAAGAGAAACAGCATAACTAGAGAGGAAGGAATTAGCAGAACATTTTCCCTGAGGTATCTTTAGATCTGAAATGCATTCTGTTCCTTGCTCTGCTAGAGCCCAAATCTGGTGATACATGAGTGTGCAGAAAGTTCCTTTAGCACCCAGTATCCAGTTCTCCAAAGCACACCAATGGCTGCAGGCTGTGTGCTGGAGCGTACCAGCTTGATACAACATTTTGGTATCAAGTGGACACTAAGAAGCATTGAAAGAAAACGCATTCCCAGGAGCTGAGCTGAGCTTTGAGCAGTTCTCAATAATGCTAGCACTGTGGTCTGATCATGATCGTCCTATTGAGGCTGAGTAGGGCATTATTCCAGAAAATACATTAAAACCAGTTAAACTTCTCATGAGTTAAGAAGCTGTTCAGCTTAAGTGGCTCTCTGAGCTTCGTGTGAAAACAGCGGGATCTTAGCAGGAGCAAGAGACAAGATTTGATCCATTGATTTTTCCATGGTGTTCTTGTCCTTTCTCCTTCTATATCTGTTAGCATTTAGTTTTCTTTTTGTATTTGTTTTGTCTTTCCTCTTTTTTTTTCCAATCCATATTTCCAGCTTTCTCTCTGTCATTTTTGTTTGTTTATAACTTTGCCAAGTTCTTGATGGAGGAGTTCGTCAGTTTTGCACTGAAGTGCTCTATGTGACTAGAAAGGAATCAAATTGATTCCTACTCTGTTTCCTTAATAACTGACCCTTATGTGAACTAAGAAGAAATGTAGCATTTCCTAGCGCTGGTTGGCCTATGGCATTCCTAAAGAAATGTTAACTTCCCCCATTATTCCATGACATATGGTAGTTCATGATTTCCAAGCTGAAAAATCTGGCTGTACGCTTCCAGATGAGAATTAGTATGTTCCTTTCCTTTTTGTCGAGAGAGAGAGTCCATGTCCTCAGCTGGTATAAGTTAGTACAGCTGCATTGTCTTCAGGGAAGGGCAACCCCATGAAGATCTGTCCGTTAAAGAAACTTAGTTTATCACATTAACTAGTCTCTCATTGACAAAGGCACCAAACACCTTTTCTCTTGTTTTATTCTTTAGTTTTCCTAATGTTAGTTTGTAGCTACAAAGGAAGTACTTAGGTGGTTGTTCTCCATCAAATTCATCATAGTCTTGGCCTCTACTACTACAATGTCTAAATGCTTTCCTGAAGCATTCATCAGAGACCATGCTAAAAGATTAGGAGTGGAAAACTGTCTAGTAACAGATGAGATCTGACTATGAAATATGATAAATATAGGACTGCTATGACCTTGTTCTCATTCTGGTATTAAAAGTGTTTTTATTTGGCATCAAAATAAAATGTTAGGCGTCAAGCAGTTTAGCAAGGATCTGTTGTTGGAGTGGGGAGAGGACAGTCATGGAATGAACTGGGCCAAAACACAGTTCTGATGAGCTCTGCTGTTGTGAGCTTGTTGCCCAAATATTTTTTCCAGCCAGAAGTTTTTTTATATAACCTATGTAGTACACTAGGGAGACACTTTTGTAACAGAGACAGCAAAAGAAAAAACGTGCAGGCTTTTTAAATTTAGAGGGAAATACTAAAGACCATTAAAATCTCTTTTTTTTGTGGAAGGTAGAAACAGCTGAGAACTTACAAGACTCATTTCAGCCACCTGCTGTGAAAGCCAAGAAAGTTTATTATACCATGTAGTTACAAAAGCTAATTGAAAATAGATTAATTCTGAAAAGCTATTGCTATTTAGATTAGCAAGCTGCAGTCGTCACCTACCTATTTGGAGTCCAAGCTTAATGCTTATGCCTGGAGAATATTGAGGGCCAACTGGAACAAGTGTGTCCTTTCACTGTAAGAGTATGCCTCTTAACTGATTTGCTTTACCGTAAAAAACCCTGCTGTTTTATTTCCTCTGGTGTGTACTTCACACAGAATTGATCTGGCAGGCCAAAACAGTATTTTGAGTCTTGTTTATATGTATGAAACAGAAAAATGTGTTACGCTGCAATTTTATTGTCTTGCTGCATCCTTTGCCACCAGCCAACCTGCCTCTGTCCCTCTTGGTGGCTGTTGGGAGGCAGTGTGAAGGTAGTAGCCTCTCCTCCTCCAAAGGTGGCATGGTTGATTGGTTAAAACCCAAGGTTAGGACTCTGCAGAACTTCTGTTGCAAATCTCCTGTATGAGCTTGGTTAATTTATGGGAAGATTTCAAGAAGGCTGCGTGGCACTTGAACACATTCGAGCTGGTAAATTTCTAGTTGAATCAGCTATATATCTGCCATGTCTTCCCCACACTGCCGGCTCCCTAATTGTTCCCTGTTCTAGTTAACAACTCGTCAGTCCTTCTCTCCTCTGTAAGTCTTCTGTCTTTGATTGCTGCCTACTGAACTCCATAGGATCTTTCCCTTCTTGCTAAGGGCATTCTAGACAAGTGTTTTGTTCTTGAGTTTTCTGTAATGTCTTCCTTCTGATGGAAGCTAGTTCATATATAACTCAGTGTCTTCACTGGGTACAAAAGCTTACGTTTAAGGATGGTTTTACTGAAAGGGTTGAGACCTCTACTCTTCCCTTGAGTGCGTGCCTGGATTTATTCCTGGTGTTTGACCTACTTTTTGCGATTTCCCCCCAGCTGTTTGTTTACTCACTTATGCAAACATAAGCATCAACATTGGTGGTGTTTATTAAACGTGAACATGACTAAGAATAATTTAATGAGGGGAAAATGGAGTTGCACACCAGAGCATTACCCACTGGAGAGCATTCTGCAGTGGTGTTATTTCATTGAATAATGTTCCCGGGTTGATGATGTGAACAACTTACCAGACCCACTATCTGCTCTCAGTAAATCCACCTGATCAGTTTGCACTTTGACAGCTTAAAAGTGCAGAAATCCCACTGTCAGGGATTGCGCATCAGAGATTTGTGAAAGGAGAGGCACATGAGACCTTTAGGAAGTCCAGGTAAAAGTGGAACCACACCTTCCCATTCCTGGAGAGAATGGGGGGCAAGGAAGCTGATCTTTGTTACATTAATGCTTATTTACATCACAAACCTTATTTATGCTGACATATGTTGCAAGAATATCTCTATTTAAGGAAGAGAAGGACCTCTTTCCATGCGGCTTTAATTGTGTTTTATTCTTAATATTGCACTGAGAGCTAAGGTGTATTAACCTGGGTAGCAGCAATGGTGTATCTGGCTTAATTAGGAAAGAGACTGTTTAGTCATTTGAGGACTGCTGTGGCCCGGCAGTGCTGAAGAGGTGAATCAGAGTGACTTCCACATCTGTGCAGACACATGGACAGGCCAGTGAGCTGTTTGTGTAAATCAGCATACACTGATTATCACTAATTTTTTGTAGCCAGTTTGCCTAGCTGTTTTTTCAGCTTCCAGTTTTTTAAGTCTTATCAATTTCAAAACTGCCCATAACTAAGATCTGAAGTCTTTGTGTAGTTACAGCTTTTGATTTTGATGGAGTTCTAGCATGGATTAAATTGTGGTTTTTTTCTTTCTTTTTTTTTCCTTTTTTAGCATCGTAGACAAAGAAGTGTCATTAATGGCAGAAATTGATAAAGTTAAAGAAGAAGCCAGTAAGTAAAAAAATACGCAGGGAACTTTTGGAATAGTCATGGAAACATCTGTTTTGTTGGGCAGAAAATTACACAGTACATAAATTTGGTTAGCAGCATTCCAGCACCTTTCATTGTATATGTATACAATCAAATAAGTCTTTAATGTTCCAGGATAGTTTCTGTATAGTTTCTATCTGTAAGGATTGTGCATCAAAACTTCAATATTATGAAATTAAGGTAAACCAAAAGTTCATGTGAAGTTAGATTTAAATGATTTATTCCCTCTGCTTACTTATCAGAGCTTTTTGACCGCTTTTTTTTTCCTTATTTCTATAGTTTCTCAATTACTTCATTTCCATTTCTTAATCACTGTTTGCTTGCTTATATTATATATAAATTATATATATATATTGCTCATATATATACCGGAAATAGATAATACCTAGAATACCGGAAATTACTAGGGGAATAGGTTATTGTGTGGCCTTGCATAGCTTTAAGGGATAGTGATCAAGCTTATGAATTAGAACAATAAAAAAAATCAAAACCCAGCTGCTTACTGGAATCTGTTTTCTTAATAATCTGTGGGAGTTGATCTGATTCTAGGCTTTCATGTTGTCTCTGTTTTTTGTATAGGTAAGGTATATATATTCTGGTTTGGGAAAAAAAAAAGCAAGATGAGCCATGTATTAGGATATCTCTTATACCCCATCTGAGATATGGTATTCATGGCCCAGTAATCTATGTGTTTCAATAGAGAGTGCTAAGCAAGAAACTGAAGAATAAATGAAGTATTGCTAGAATGATACTTTGCCTGGCAGATGAAAATATCACTGTTATGTATGCATACAATCCTTTTATTGATTTGTGAATTTAAGGTCCTTCCAAGGAGGGTCACAAATATATGTAACATTCTTGAATGCTTCATTTGCATTTAGAACTCTCACTTAGTTTACAAATGTATACTAGTTAAATTTTTATTTAAAAAAAGAATCTAAATCCTCTGTTGCTAGTTAAGTCTCTTGTAGTTGTATGTATGTGGAAACTAAAATGTACAGGTTGTTACAGCAAAGATTAGCATTAGTTTGTGTTTGGAATTTTGTATGCTAACTTTTCTAGTGCTAGCATGAAATAGATGTGGATTTGGAGTTCTGTGTTATTCTGGGGAGGAGTTGTGGATGGAAACATATCAGCAGCTTTTTGTTACCTGCGGAGACCAGGTAGCCATAATCAGCTACAGGACATGCACTCACTCCCAGGAAAACCAGTGGTAAAATTCCCATTGATATCAGCAGACATAGATCTAAGCCCTAACTGCATAAACAAAACACATCTTGAAAATCCACCGTCCAGGTGGGCACCTTCATTAATCTTCGCCAGGTATAGTAATAATTTTTGTGGAAAGTGAACCTAATTCTTATCTACAGGCATGCGAAGTGCTGCGTTTGCACATGGCAGGTTCTATTTCCCTGCTTTCATGCCAACTCCACAGGTGACATTGGATGGCCCCTGTACCTGGCTTTAACAGTGTAGTTTCTGCTGTCTCTCAAGGCTGTTGTAGGCTTGTAAAGTGCCTTCAGAACTCTAGGCAGAAAGTTTTTATAGGACTGTAACATGCTAACCAAGATTGACATCATTATTTATTTTCACATCTCTTTGCTGCATTGGAGGACTATTTTACAGTGGGTAATCTTACTCTTACTGTCAATACTGGGAAAACTTTCAAATATGATAATTTCAGTTTTTTTTAAAATGGGTATATGGCTGGCATCTCATGCGAGGTAAGTGCCAGTATGAGATGAGATCACATGGTTTGGACAGTCACTTCAGCAAAGGGGATGCTGACCTTGGGGAGAAACAATATTAGCATTACCTAGAATAAGCAATAAAACAGAACTATTGGACAAAGAAAAACAACTAGTAAACTGTTCATTTGATCTGATAATAGTTTCTCAGACTTGTAGACCGTATTCCACAAAAATGAAATTAAAAGATCAGCTAGAGAGGTAGATACACACCTGTTCTTAGCATAAGTAATAACGTAGGCACAGATTTACCAACAGGGCTCAAGAGACTGTAGCCACCCTCTGTCTTCCCTGCCCTGTGTGACACATGCTCCTCTATCACATGGTTTGGTTGCTCCCACACAGCTGTACAGCCACAGCTCTGTCTCCCTGCGCCTGCTCGACCATGCTGTACTTGGAAACACTGGAACAGGTTGCCCAGAGAGGTGGTAGATGCCCCATCCCTGGAAACATTCAAGGTCAGGTGGGACGGGGCTCTGAGCAACCTGATCTAGTTGAAGATGTCCCTGCCCACGGCAGTGGCGTTGGGCTAGATGACCTTTAAAGGTCCCTTCCAACCCAAACTATTCTATGATGCTATAATACTTTCAAAAGAAGGTGCCATCTGATTAAATAAATGATAATGGGTTGAGAAACAAGCTCTCTGTAAAATATCATTAATTCTCACCTAAAAAACGGCATTACAAAATATGAGCTGATTAGGTGACTTGCCAAGTCTGCTCTGGAAATTTGTGGCAAAAGGCGGCAAAGAAGCCAAAGTCTCCACAGCTGTAATGGAGTCTGTGGCCTTAGGATTTGTTGTTTACAACAACTACCACTTACCCTGCCTGTAGGCATAAGTTCTAGACAAAAGACTATGGTTGTTATTATTTTACGTTTAGATACTATCTTTCCTCTCTGCCATAAGTGGTGATCCCACCAGCCAATTAATCAGTTGTTGCTTTACATTGAGTCACCATGTAGGTAATAGAGTTTGCATATACTTAATTTTCCACCAAAATTGTAATATTGTATTATCCTGCATGTAAGTGGACCGTTGCTTTGTGGTTCATGGTTAATCTTTTCCTATAAGAACATCACTATTCACCCCTTCCTTATATAAAATATACAAGATGGGCAGTAGTGAATATTTAGTATTTTTTCATAAAGACTCTTGGCCTTTGTAATACTGCTTTGCTGTAGAAATGGCAACTGTGTATATGCTGTACTTGAAAGCAAAATTGCAATGCCGGTGATTTTAATGTAAATGATATATGAACAGATTTTTTTCAGAGGAACTGAAATGCCCCTGTCTAAATAAAATATGTGTCTTCAGAAACAGGCTGTTGACTCAATGTAATGCTTCTTTCCATGTCTCCATGGAAGGCTCCCTGATTTTGTGCTTAAAAATAAAGCACTGGAAAACTCAAAACAACACGACTCTGCCCCTGTTTGTCTAAATGTTGAAGAATTGGTTTAACTTTGATTTTCTGACAGCTATCCCGTTTCCAGATCTTTTTCAACATCAGGCAGTTCAGTTAAATATGCTAACTGACTTAGTCTGTGCAAGCAGCATATTGGAAGTCCAGCTGAAGTCGGGGGTCTGAGATGTGTATGTTTGTCTCACATGGGATGTACAGTGTTAATGCCCAAAGAGTAATGAATTACAGAGCAATTTACCTTCCTAGCATTAATTATTGACTATTGGTATTTGGCAGTGGAAATCCTGACTGCTCGGCAGAAGAAAGCTGAGGAGCTGAAGAGACTGACAGACCTAGCCAGTCAGATGGCTGAAGCACAACTGTCTGAACTCAGGGCTGAAATTAAGGTCAGGCATTCACTTCTGCTTGGGCATTGTAGCTGTTTGCATAAATGCCAAGAAAGAGCTGTCATGTTAACATGCCTAGGCTGCTCATTCCATAGCTTTCCATGGGGAAAGCATACCTTCTTAAAGCATTATAGCACCTCTGAACAGTGTACAGATGCTATCAGAGAAGTGTAAGCTACCCCCTCGTAAGTGCAGCAGTGGGGAGTTTTGCTGTTTGTGTATCACTTATCAGACACAGTTAACAAGCAAGCCTGATAGCTTCAGGTTCAGAGATGAAACACATACGCTCTGATGAAATGACCCACTTCCCAAGGGCGGGAGTGATCCACCCATCGCTGGGCTGTGAGACATGTAATTTGGTTAAGGATGGGAAAATACTTGGTTCTGCATAGAGATCCTGTGTACAGGGCAGGGTCAACAGTTTGCTGAGCCTTAAAGTGAACTTAAGATAAGTATTGATTGGTTTCTGTACCATCCATGTAGTCTTTTGCTCAGAATGCAAATCACTGTTAACTTGTCTGTATTTTTGCAGCACTTTGTGAGTGAACGGAAATATGATGAAGAGCTGGGCAGGTCCGCCCGATTTTCCTGTGATACAGAACAGCTGAAGACCCAAATTCAGCTCTGTGGAGAAAGTAAGTACTGATGATTTCTCACACCGAAGTTCTCGGAACATCATGTTCCACATATGTGTTCAGGAGATGCTGGCAGAAATAATGGCATGTGTAGTGCCAGTGTGTGTGTGTGCAGCAAGCCTGACATGAATGGCGTATCTGGATGCAGCAGGCTTGCTGAACATGCACAAGTCAACTTTACAGTATGCAACAGGTTAGACTCAATGTACATGTGCTGCACAGTCCATCTGCTTGTGCACAGTGCCCTCTTTGTCAGAGATTTCCAGGTGTTACTCAGATCAGTTGTAGTTTTCCATCTAAACAGCATTTCCAAGTGGAAATAAAAGTCAGCTCTGGGGAACACTCAAATTCAGTAATTTATGAATAACTAGTAAATCGGAAGCTTCTCTGTGTGAGCGTAATGTTATGAGACCAATTCAGATCTCTCTTGCTAGGAAGTAACTCCCCAGCTTCATAACAGTATTCATTGGGTTTTTCAGGAGCTAAAGGTAGTTCCAAATGTTTCTGTTTCCAAATCATCTGCCCTTCTGCTTGGAAATTCAGGTTCATTTTCTGCTCCAAGTATCATGTCCCTGTTGCAAAATACGAGATAGCCTATTTCTCATCTTTGTCATGCTTTTTCCCCCGCAAAAAAGTAAATGCTATAATGCTTTGCCCCAGATGTTACCCTGTCCCATGATATCCCATCAGTACCATCACTAAGGAGAAAAAATGTTAACACAACACTGAACTACTGCATCTTGGTGGAAGGAAAACAATTTTGGGAAGAAAAATAACTAATGTTTTCAAGGAGTTACTAGAAATAGAAAAAAGAAAAAATATCACAGTCTGCCAATACGATCTTCTGACTGCACAGCTAAAGAACGGACTCCTTTGAGGTGTAACCAGTTTAATTCATTTCATCGCTCTAATTGCTTTTGCAGAACACTTTGAAGATCCATCTAACCCCGTATCCCATCTCTCATTGATGCCAACTCAGGATGTTTCAAAGGAAGGCATAAGCTTCCCAGTAATGCATCTAATTGTTCACAGTCACCTCATAGACCCTACCTCATACCCTGAAGCTTGAGAGATTGAAAATTCTGTAAAGATTATCCTGACTAATATAACCACAGCTGCTATTGATACAACCACAGACTATTTTTTTAAACTCATTGAACTACTTTCCTGAATAACTTCCAGCTGCAGTTAATTCTGCAAGTTAATTATTTATACCTCATTTCAGTAAAGCACTACTTAAGCATAGTTTGATGCAGACCTGTTGAAATCAGGTCAATGAAGTCAAAAGAACAGCTATTAGCAGGGAAGCAGTGCCATCTTACAAATGACTGATAGTGCACTGGCTGTCTGAAGAACTTAGCTCTACTCTGCCCTCAGTGACCTTTGATGAGCAACTCATGCTGTTGGCATGTCTTTGGTAAGAGCTCTTCAGTGGAAAAGATGTTTCTGTTTGGAGCATCTCACAAACCCGTACCCTGCTAGGAGCTGCAAATATCCCTCAAACAGAGATTGTACTAGGCCTATAGCCAAGAACAACCACTGTTGAGGTCTTTAACAAAAGCAGTAACCAAAACCACAAAGCTTGTGCAAAGGAAGGCATGTTCTAGCATGAGAAGAGAGTAGGCAGCATATACACTCACAATGAAGGACAGGAAGAAACAAAAATAATTGGGCTGACATATATCCAGGATGCCTAACGGTGGGTTGTACCCCTTCCTTGTACATCTTTTTTGTTAAAAATATGTTTTTATGACAAGCACCTGGATTTTTATATGGGCTTCCATGTGCAGCAGTCTATTTTAGACAAGAGAGAGCAGTAGAATTCGGTGACAGCCAGCCTCACTGAACTTAGGACAGAAAATTCAGTTCATTGTGCAGGTCATTGCATTTTTTTTTTGAAGAGGGCACCTAGTGGGAGAAATAGCTGATGTTGGCGTAAGTGAACAAGAGCTTCAAAAAACCTAACAGATGATGCTCAGTTGCTAAAATTATTCCGCATCTTCTTTCTCTGTACTAAAAGTGGAAAAATAGAAGCATCTCTTAAATAAAACAATAGGTGTCTCACTGAAGTGAGCCTCTGGTTTGTAATCTGTACCAGAAGGAAACAGGAAAATTCCATAATCGGAAAAATCAGAACAGCAAATTAAGATCAAGAACTTTACTTCAATAGCCTCAGAGTCCTCTCTGAGACTGCTTAGGGGCCATTGCACAGAAGCAGGCAGCTTGAAGAGCTTGTGGAAATGCAGAGAGGTAGGAATCAAGGATTTGTCTGGTGCACTTCGCAGTGCGCTTTGCATCCAGACCTGGTTAAGAAATCAGGCAGTCTCAAAATACTAAGAAGTAGGGAGCAGGAATATACTGAATATACTGACAGGCAATAGTGGTTCCTGATGGTGCTGACTGCTGTGATCTACATGAAGTGGGTTAGTGCATTCAGTTCCAGTTTTTGTAGATACCCATGGTACAGAAGAACCTTTGTTAACCATCTCCTTAGAGAGGAGTGAGCAACAGGCACTGGACTTTTTTTTTCTTCTTAAAAAATATTAGACATACTAAGGAAGCTTTCATAGCTGTTACCTGTCTCGTAGCTAATATATATATAGACAGCAAACGTCAGCCTCTTCAGCCTTCCAAGAATAATTTGGAATCGAATTTAGTCTGCAGTTGTGTCTGCAGGCACAACTTCCTTTGACCTCAAGCAGTCGAGAGAGTTACTGGCATGCCACTCACTTTCTTCCCATGTTTCTTCCTTTGTTGCCTGAAGACTCCTGTTAGGAGCATTATTGATAGGACATTATGGATAGGACAGCAGTGCATGGGGCAGTCCTGACAGCACATGTGTTCAGCTCAACTGGTTAAAAGTTCACAAGCAAACCAATAGGTGCCATGAATTTTGAAAAGTTTTCTTGGGTGACCAAAGTCTAACCTTCTGTGAGGCTGCTTCCAGTTTTAGCGCAATTCCACCACGTTGGCTCTTTTGTCTCCAGAAGTGCTTCATTCACTATGAGGCACTTTCACAGAAGTAAAACGCTATGGCCCAATTCCGACCCTAGTTATCTAGCTTACTTCATTATTTAAAGTAAGGGTGGAACAAAAATTAACTGCAAGCAGGGTAAGAACACAGCCTTATGTTTAGATGTTGATCATTTAACTGATAACACAGAATACTTTTTTTATAGTTTCTCACCCAAAGAACAACTATTCCTCAAGAACACCATGTAGTTCAGTGCTGTCTTCAATGACCTCGCATGCAACAACTGGCAAGCAAAATACGCACAACCGAAAGTCCTCTAGTAATGCCAAGAACTCTGATAATAGAACAGCCAGCACTAAAGTACAAAGTCATCTTTCTTCCAATCCTACAGAATCTTCTTCCCAAGGAATCCTGACAAATAAGCAGGTAAGAAACCAGTTATGAAATAAACTAAATTATTTCAAAAATTTCAGAAAAATATGCAGCATTGAAAGTTGTTAATACAAAATCAAATACTGGTTTGCAGTCCGTATATTTAATTAATAATTTTTGCAAATATGCAAGTGTGTATTTTCCAGCTTCATTTTCAAGGCAGTGTGAACATACAAGGTGGAAATAGCAGAAATGCCATACCAGCAAAGGCTGCTGTCTGGTGTTCAGAAGTGACTAGTGGCAGTTAACAGACTGAAAAAGAAAAACTCTCTGTAATAGCTAATTGCCCTATATGCTACGATGGAGAAACACTTATTCCTGATCCTTGACAAATGATCAGTTGATGTGCTGTTGAAGCATGATTATTAGATAGACTTTGAAAGTGGAATCCTGCCAGGTTTAAAAGCATGCTATTTCAGAAGCTGTATAATACAGCTTATAGTATTGTGCTGTATTGGTAGCTATTTCATTATAAGAGCACCTTAGAATGTCCTTGTGCCGTTGTGCTTAGGTAAAGCTGCCACTGAAGTTGGTATGAATTTTGTCCCAGCAGGGATTTTAGGCTCAAGAAGGTGCCTGAAGGGAAATGTAGGAGCATTACATAATGTCAGTGCATGTATGGAATCAGCTGCCCTGGCAGTCATGCAAATAAAGCAATTCAGCCACTTCCTACTAAGGATCGAAGCTTCCTTTGAGCAAGATATAGAATCATAGAATAGTTTGGGTTGGAAGGGACCTTTAAAGGTCATCTAGCCCAACCCCCCTGCTGTGGACAGGGACATCTTCAACTAGATCAGGTTGCTCAGAGCCCCGTCCAACCTCACCTTGAATGTTTCCAGGGATGGGGCATCTACCACCTCTCTGGACAACCTGTTCCAGTGTTTCACCACCCTCATTGTAAAAAATTTCTTCCTTTTATCTAGTCTAAATCTACCCTTTTTTAGTTTAAAACCATTCCACTTTGTCCTGTGGCAACAGGCCCTGCTAAAAAGTCTGTCCCCATCTTTCTTATAAGCCCCCTTCAAGCACTGAAAGGCTGCAATAAGGTCTCCCGAGAGCCTTCTCTTCTCCAGGCTGAATACCCCCAACTCTCTCAGCCTTTCTTCATAGGAGAGGTGTTCCATCCCCCTGATAGTTTTCGTGGCCCTCCTCTGGACCCGCTCCAACAGGTCCATGTCATATCACATCTCTCTTATTGTGTGGATTCTTAACTTGACTTCAATTTACATGTGAATTTCTGTTCTTCCTGCAGTCTTACTGTAGTATTTAAACAGTACTTTACTAGGAAAGGTATTTTCATGATTTTGGAAGAAATCAGTCAGTATTAAGTTCTTCAGTGCTTCTTAACTGCTGCTGTTGAGATATCTAGTATTTCATCCCCTTTTCTGTGTTCTCTTGAATCATGGCAGATTTTAATTTGGCATCAGTGGTGGACCTGCCATCTATATTTCCAGGCTACTCAGATGTAGCATGTTACCCATAGTTCAGTTTTTAAGTGTTATAAATAGAGAGCTCTGGCAACAATCAAAACTGTATAGTGTTTTCCCTCTCCTTGTTACACTGAAAATTTTATTCTGCAATTTTTGTTAATTCTGATTGCTGTATTTCTTGTCCTGTTGGAAGGATTCAGATAACCTAACAGTTACCCGATTTCTTTCTGGATAGAATGGGCCTTCTAGCCAGAGACGACGATTCAACCCACAGCACCAAAACATCCGGCTCAATGGATCTCTTAAGTCACAAGGTGCCAGTAATGAGGCAGATCAAAATAATACAAAGAGTGGTTCCAGGTCTGAACACAGAAGACAGCAGCATAACAGCTTCAGATCTAAAAATAAAGGAGCTATGAAAAATCAAGAGCAGTCCACAACTACCAGGACCACAGAGAATCCGACACATTCAGAAAAGACCCGACGAAAGCATCATACACCAGACACCGCAGATCACAGGCCTTTCCAAGGCAGTGTTGGCAGGGTGTCACAATGCAATTTATGTCCTGCAAGGATGGAGGTCTCTGCTGATGCCACTGTTCTTTCAGTGCCAGCTGTGACTTTGGTGGCTTAAAATGTCATGGTGATGGCAGGCAGAGAAATTTAATCTCTTCATTTTAGTTTCTTGCTTGAGATGCTTATTGGTGAAGAAAATAAGTCAGAACATAGTCATTTTAAATCTGTTGCTGCTTGAAACTTGTTGGTATCTTTATTACTTACTAATTATCAAAATTAATTTGTACTTTCAAGGCTTTGCCCAATGTGTTCACAGTTATTTTGTCATGACAGTACAGAATCTTACCAAAGCAGCATTTACTACTTAGAAAAATGAAATCTAGATTGGAAAAATAAATTGATAATTAAATTCATAATAGCAAAAACCTGATGTAGATATGTGGTTATACCAGTCAACGTTATTGTTTTTTAGAGCAGCCTGTGTTAGAAGGATCCCAGGAAGTCTGTATGCTGTGGTCTGCAATGAAATCAGATAATCTTGTAGAATTTTTCAGCAAATCTCTATACACCTCTTTCTTTCTGTGCGTGTATACATGTACATGCATGCACACTGTATACACAGAGTATTGTTATATACAAGAACATTTGAAAAAGCAGTACTTTTGATTTTAGCTTATTGCATAATCTGAGATCTTTAAATTCAAGTATAAATTGTATTAAATGTATTACATACTGGTATTTTTCATTGACAAACTATTTTTATGAGGCTGAGGAAAAATGCTCATTTCTTAAGTTTGGAATGTATATAGTCATGGCTATTCAGGTGCACAGCCCTATTCTCCATCCTTATCAGCCATTTTTCTATGACTAGTTGGATTTATTTTTTTGCATATGAAAAGTTGCAGGTGTTCTAGACTTGAATCCAAATTATTTTTCTATTTTTTTGCTGTAGGAACCATCTGTCCATAACGAGAGCTACGACTAATAAATTTGTTACAGCAACATGCAGCAGAATGTGGAGGTACATATTTGAGCAGATACTACATCCTTCCGAGTTTTCTATTAAAATAAAAATCTTACTTAGTCTTAATGTTCTGATTCTGTATTTCAGAAAACCTGTTTCTTCCAAAAAATTAAAATCTTCTTTCTAAAATATTCTGGTGTTTGCTGCTTTGCAGTGCCTAACCTTTGTGATCTTATTCAAATTGTATTTGCTTAATTCACCTGGTATCAGTGGGAGGCTTTCAGCTGAGTTTGGATTGGACTAGGCTTCTGCTTTTAGTTGGATTCTAATGCCACAAGTGCACAGAACAGAACCTTCCCATGGGAGCCACCTCCATCCTGGACATGCTTTTAATACAAGTTATTATTTAACATAATAAGGTGTCAGAATCCAGACCTGGCATCAAGTGAACTAGTGGCCTAAGTGTCAGAATCAGAAAGGTGTAAAAGGTCAGTAAGAGCAGGACACTTGAGTATCTTTAAAAGTTTATTCCTAGGTTATTGTTTGCTACTGCTTTTTACCAGTTTCCTCTGCCTAATTTCTGTTAGCTGACGGCACACTTCCTTAGTACTGACTGGTTTACTTTTCCTCTGTGGCCCTTGAAAAATAACCTCAAAGTGTAGAGTGAGATGCATCCTTATGGGAATTATGATTTTGATTATTTTTATTTGCCTTGATATCTGTATACAGTTTTCCACATGTGAATATTGGTAAAACCTGATTCTAAAAGGCAAATAACTCATCTTCATCTGGAAGAGTGGTGAAAGACAAATAAACATGCATAGGTAAACATTGGCTTTCTTAGCATTGCAAGCACTGCTTCTGTCCTAGTTAATTACCTATCATGCTTTTAAGCTGAATTCTGATTGCTGTATTTCTTGTCCTGTTGGAAGGATTCAGATAACCTAACAGTTTTGAGTAAATGGGACCGAAATTCCACAATCTGTGTTGTGCACACCCATCAGGTAGCTTTTCAAAATCTATCTGCTGCCTTACAGTTTGAGATGCAATTATAATTTCCATGCAGGTATTACACAGGAATCTTCTTATATTGTCCTTACATAATTTGTGAAATTTATTTATGTCCCTTCTTGTAACCCCGCCTAAAAAAAAGAAAATCTAACTTATCTATAATGACTTTTACTCCTTCCTTATAGCTTCTCCACTTGACAGGATTATTGAAAGTTATTTTATTCCGTAAGTCAGCTTCTCACAAGCAGGCTTCTGCAAATAAATAAAATCTGTAACGTAAGTCAGAACTCAGCACAACAGGACCACCTTGCGCTTTTCAGTACCAGCTAACCTTTGATGTACTGGAGGCTCAGTATGTGACAGACCCAGGACTAACAGGTGAGCGACGGCATTTCTCTTCAGACTGTGATGCAAACACATTTTCTTTGATGAGAGATGCAGGCATGGACTCGGTTGGGCTGGGGAGTGGGAACGCTGCAGTCTTAGCACGCTAAGTGTGGTTTAGTATTGCAGTACACGTTTTAACTACATTACGTGGCTAAAGTGTAGCTTTTTTTACGTGCTCTGAAGTGTAGCTCTGTCAGAATGGTATCTCTTAATCTTTCACTTCTTGGTCTCTGTATGCTTGGAATTATATCTGCCAATTTCTAGGAGTGTTTTACTGTTCACAATACTTGTAAATAATCGGATGCTCTTGGGCCCATCTTCAACAGAACTCTCTTTTTATCTTCTAATTACAGAGGTAGCTATGTGTGATACTCCTTGTAATGTAAGGGAGTTCAGGGGTCAGTGAGGGAATTAAGGGCAGGACAAGGCTTGACTTTCAGGCCAGCCCTCTTTTTTTAAAAAAAGTGCCCTCAATTTGTAAAGCAAATAGAGCTGTTTGGCATCACTCAAACACAAACATGGAATTCCCACTGCACTTTGTACAC